TCCGAGAACGCGCCAGTGTCACCCTGAGATGAAGAGGGAGGATTCAGGCTGGCAAAGGCCCGTCCTGCCCGCACACGCATGTGCCCAGGAGGGCACGGAGGGGCCGACCCTCTTCATTCTGAGCCACTGCGGTTCAGGCACAAAACAAACTTTCCAGCTCAGAGACGGGACACTGATGGGTGGACCCTCACCAGGACCCTGAAGCACTGGCCTTGCCCCTTAGACCCCTCCTGCTCCTCCAGGGCCACCTCCTACCTGTCTGGGGACAGCAGGGAAGTCGCTTCTGGTTCCCCATTCCTAGGCTGGGGGCCAGGGTGGCAGGGAGCAGGAAAGCACAGGAGGTAGGGTCGGGGCTCCCTGCTGCCCTGCGCCTCCCCAGCCGCTCTGTCCAGCTCTGACTGATGGGGGACCTCCCTCTCCATCCCAGCAGCAGCCTCCCCGGGAGCCCAGGTCGATCCCACCAGTCACGGGGCACTCACATCGGGGTAATAGTCCACTGTGGGGACCAAGTGCTCCATCAGGGCCTCCAGGGACCCGGAGATGAGACGTCCGTCTTGGAAGACGAGTTCCCCGGAGCTGCCGGCCCCACCTCCTCGCTCCCCCATGCCGGGCTGCACCTGTCCACTACAGCTGGGCCCGAGGATGCTGGAGAAGACCACGGACGTCTGGGGCATAGTTTCCTGGGAGAAAAGAATGAGGCCGTGAGGCATCAAAGGCACCTCCGCCAGGCCCTCCTCCCAGGCTGCCTGCAGCCTGCGTGCAGGTGCAGAGCCTGAGCCCCGGCAGGGCCGGGAGCGGGGTCATTAGATGTCAGCACAGGCGGGCGGGCAGGCTCCTCAGTGGCCCCGAAGCCGCTGATCAATGTGTCTGATAAATGTTTCTTCAGCACCTGCTCTGTGCATACCAGGCCTCATTCCAGGCATCTGGACACAGAAGGCCCTGCCTCCTGGGGTTCCATCCCCGTGGGAAAAGAGAAACTATGGAGAAAAACAGCACCAGGAGAACACTGAGTGTGCGGGGGGTGATCAAGGCGGCCTCGGGGAGGGGCCCTGAGACAGACTGATGGTGTTAGCTGTGCAGCTTCCTGGGATAAAAGAGGGAGGTTCGAGGCAAAAAGGACAGCAGGTGCCAAGGTCCTGAGGCCAGTGTAGGGGAAGGTGATCAGCAGGGGACTGGTCTGGCCAGACCATACACACCTGGGGGCCCAGGGTGCAGCATGTGAGACAGGAGGCGTCGGGACTCCGGACAAAGGAGTGACTTGACTCGGTGAAGGTCACCGTGGCCGCCGTGTGGAGACCCAGCAAGGGAGAGATCTAAAAACCAATCAGTGGGTTTTGCCATGACAAAACCCTGGGAGACATTGCTCAGGTCAAGTGATGGGGAGAACGGTCTTCTGCCTGAGAGACTGACCAGCATGGAGAAGGGCTTGGAGGGTGGGGTTTGGGGACAGACCTGGAACTTGCTTTTGGACACGTGGATTTGAAATGCCTATTAGACACAGATGCTGGGCAGCAGTCTGGGGGCTCAGTGTGATGGAGGCTGAGGGTCCCCACCTCACACTGCAGCCGGGTTTTGCTGCAGGCCCTCATGAGGCCCGGGAGAGTCTGCAGCCCTCTGGGCCTCAGTTTCCTCACTGCCCGGGGCAGCTGGCCGCGTCTGGAGGGGGCTCTGTGGCATCAGCATGACGCACACCTGCCAGCCCGAGGCCTCGGAAGCTAGTGCCGTGGGTGCACTCCCCCTCCTGCTGGCCAGGGGTGGCCTGCCCCGCCTGCTGGGCTAGTCCCACCCTTGGAGGGCAGGGAGGCTGAATTCCGGGGGGGGGGAGCTGGCCCTTCCTGCCTTGGCGGGGACCGTGGCCAGGTGTCACCCTCTCTGGTCACTGGCAGGCAGGCGCCGCTGCCCCACCCCTAGCTCCCCAGGCCGCCGCGCTGGCCTCCCTCTCCGAGCCGTGGCTGCTCCCCACGCCTCAGGGGGCAGAAAGAGCCCCCAGTGCTGAGCTTGCCATTGATGACGCCTCCAACCAGCCCTGGCCTGCTCTCTTGCCCGGACCAGGGTTGGCCTCTGAGCCCTTCTGGCCACGAGTCTCCCCACCGGGCAGAGCAAAGAGCAGCCATGAGTATTTTACTGCCGTGAGGGGCCCCTCCAAGGGCTTTACAAGGACAGCCAACTCTCACCCCAGCACATCAGCTGAGCCTCACACCAGGGCAAAGGGGGCCCGGCCCAAATGACGCTGGCTTCTCTGCCAAACACCTGGAGGTCACCTTTGGATTCTCAGAAAATCCTTTGCAAGGAGGGCAGGCGCTCAAGGGAAGTCCCCGGGGACAGGCCTGGATTGCAACCTCTGTGGCCCCCAGGCTCCGTGCTGCCCTTGTGTCAGGTTGGGTTCAGACTCACAGAACACTCCCCTCAGCCCACGTTAGAATGCACAGTCTCAGGCCCCACTGTGTCAGAACTCTGGGGTGGGTCCTCTTTGCCGCTCAAGTTAAAGAACCACTGACTTGAGCAAACCCTTCACTTTTCACATAGTGAAACAGACTCAGCAAGAAGGAACTCAACCGAGGAAATCCTAGGATTTCCAAGTCCAGCCCGGGTGTCACTACCCCTAGGAAGCCCCCCTGGGTTAATCGCTAGACTGCTGACCCACGAGGCCAGAAGTGGCTGATCACCTGCCTTCACGTCTTCCTGTCTGGCTGGAACCCGCCCCATGGCCGTGCTCAGTAGCCTTTTGTGGGAGGAAATAAGGAAGGTGGGCTCCCTGGGCGCCTCAGCACTGGCAGCTGCTCTACTGTGCCGTCACTGGGACCCGAGGGGACACGACCCCCAGCACTTCAGCTGAGGGCCATGCGCTGCGGGGCGACTTTCCTGAGATCACACAGTTCTGGGTTCAAAAGTTGACCCGAGGGTGTAACCTTGGCCAGTTGGATATCCTGACCCCAAGCTTCTTGGTCATCAGAAATAGCATTTTCGGAGCCTCTGGCCTCTCCCCCCGTGGAGAGAGCAGGCTGCTCTGGTCGAAAGGTGCTACAGGGGGAGCACACTGACACCCCACTAACTCACAAAGCCCCTACCAGATCCTCCACAGGGCATGGCCGCCTGCAGGGACACCTGCCCCAGGGCTAGCCAGTGGGGAGCCAGCCTGGGGACTCAGCCCCCCAGCTCTGCAGCCCCCCGTGGGGGCTCAGGTGAGCCTAGCAGGAAGCCAGGGGGCTGAGCTCTACACTGGGCACCGGCCCACAGCTCCCTAGGGAGCCTCAGACGTCACTCACTGTCCCCCTCGACAGGGGAGAGGCGTGCGCTCAGGGTACAGTCACCTACCCCAGGGGTGGGGCCCCAGCCCATGTGTCCTGCACAGCCACTGGGTGGCACGTCCCTCATCACGCTGCTCCTCCCCTAGGGCTCCCCACCCGTGGGGGGGTCTCGGTCCTCCAGAGACTGCGTCCCACCTACACCATGCCCGTGCACCACCCAGGAGGCCACGGGAAGGAAGGGGCAGCCACATGAGGCCCATCCCTTCAGCCTGGGGCAGTGACCCCTCTAACAGCAGCTGGGCCAAGGACCCTGCCCCTGGACTCCCCAGCTGCACAAGATCCCGCACCAGTCACTTTTAAATGACATAAACAGGTGTGTACATGACATGTAAATAAAGGCACAGCAAACATCTGGCCACCCGTGGCCACACTCATTACAGAATTTACTGCAAGGGAGCAGAGGAGGGAGGACACTTTCGCTTTCCGTTCTACACATTTGTCATCTATTTGGTAACTTTTCTAAATGGCGCATCTATTTTGTCATATTCTAAATAACTTTGCTTTTTAGTGCAAAGAAGCTGAGTTTTGAAATCAGCTCTTTTTATAAAGGCATAATAAAGAGGCTGCAGCCCCAGGGCTGGGTCTGCAGACAGAAGCATGGCCACCATCTAGCGGGTCATAATGTGAGGGTGGGCTTTGAGGTGGAGGCCCAAAACCCCTCAGGGAATGGGCAGAGCCCCCAGGGGTTGTGCAGGACCACCCAGCCTCTCCCCTACCCTGGGACTCTGCCTGGGGCCAGGTCTCTCTGACCACGTCTCTCCCTGCTCCTCTGTACACTGAGCCTTGTGGATCCTGGGGACCCCCCCCCCCCCCC